AATAAATGATGTACGTATGTTGAATTTCTTTCACACTGTACGCTGCCAACGTGTCTCATTCCTCCCAAAATTGGTGTTCATTGAAATAAAGTACTATTTTGAAGCCAGAATTAATCTGTAATTGAATCGAGTTTATTTCGGCGATTAACAAGCAAATTGTATTTAGCCAATTAAGAAGCAACAATTAAGAAGCAACTTGTATTTTTAAATCCTTTATATTAAGTTCGCTTGCTTGCTTGCGTGCTTGCTTGCGTGCTTGCTTGCTTGCTTGCGTGCTTGCTTGCGTGCTTGCTTGCTTGCTTACGACCGTGCAAATCTTTAGGTCGTTTTTTAACCCACTTCCCGTGATCCAATCGAGCTGACATTTTCCACACAGACTCGTTGTGCGAGACAATTAATGTTCGTGAAAATGTTACACTGTTTAGGGGAAACAAATTAAATATTTAATTATCAATTGCTTAATGGTGGCAGACAATCATCTGACCCATAGGTGGCAGCCATCTCAAGCCAGAGGACGAGAGGACTCTAGCCGCCACGCATATAAAGGATTTATAGTGAAAAATTTGTTTTTACGGGTTTACTTGTTATTAACTTATTTCGCACCGTAGATAGCCAACCATGCGAATCGGAGGTGCGGGAGTGAGTACCTTGTAATGTAGACCTTTTTTGGGACTTCACTTCGGTTTGGATGAAATGGGAATATGAAATTAGTCACAAACAGTTTTATGCACATATAAACATTCGGCAAAAATCCTCCATATCGCCTCACTGGTGAGTAACCAGCACCACACTCGGCCGCCTTTGTCTCCCGAGTGGCGATGATTACACATCGCACCAGGTTCTCATTTGAGTTGACCTAGGCGAAGCCCATGACTAGTTCAGATAATCGTCACTGGTGTTGGTGGTGAGCAGGTATCAGGCTCGTGGTTCATAGCACAGCGTGCGAACCCAGTGGCGGCTCCTGTAAAATCTCTCAGGGGGGGCAAATGTCTGGATGATTGATAAGGATAAGGTCCACCCATGCAATGGATAAATTAACAGCTTAAGCATATAAAGGCAACTTCACTTCTTTAATATTAATGAAAAATAAAGTGACTCTTACAATACATCTTGTTTGTTTCTATACTCACTATTAATACAATCCACTCAAGTTTCTTTTATTAAAGATTCCACTAGGTGGCGACAAATTATATTGTTGGATGAAACGTGCTTACGTATGATGACGTAAGCACGTTAGGGCGAGCCCTCCCGGAACCCATAGAGAATGCATTGCAGTGCCCCCCGGTCAAAAAAAAAAACATCTTTGAATGTAAGTCTATGGGGCCACTCGGGGCGATTCTCAGCCGGAGTGAAATCGTCCAAAAAGAGGCGGTACTCCACAGAACGTGACATGACGCTGATTGGACTATATCCAGAGGCACAGTAACGGCTAGCGTGACTCTGTGGTTGAATGACATTGGTGGTGCGTCGCCCAATCGCCCTAATGAAGAAACCGCCCCTGTGCAAACCACTACACTACCGCTCCCCAAGGGCACCAGCATGCAAGCCTGCTGTGTGTTTCTGGCTGTCAGGGCTGCCGTTTGTGAGACTCATTCACCTGCTGGAAACACAGTCGCAGCTTGTAAAATATAAATTCCAATATTCTCCTTTTATCGCACGATGGACTTATTGTATGAGAGAAGCCAATTTTTTTGAATGTTCAGGCTCTATGTCACGCTGTCTTCATACAACTGTGACTATGAACCAGCTTGCGTTTGTGATCTCCCATGAAGCGATTGTTCCAGTTATCTTTTAAACAGCTCAAATATATTTGTTGGAGGGGGGGGGGGGGGGACACAGAAACGTGTACATTTACTGTATAATGTTTTCATATCTGTATGAAGTTTACATTTATAGGTGTTCGTTCCATCGCATAAACTGGCTAACATATTTAACCCGTTGAACACGTGAGGCTTTTGCGACCAATATTATCTATAAAAGGTTTTTTTGGGATAAATCGCGTAATTATGAATGTGACGTTAAACCCGCCACCACTTGACACAGCCAATTAGGAAGGTTTCTCACGTAAATAAAACGTGCCAATTAGTTACTCGTTGAGCACACCGGTTGTGTGTTGGAGAGTAACCCCACAACATTTGCCATTCGAGTACGACGTTTCGCTGGTAATTACAACCAGCCTCATCAGGCGACACCCAGAGTTGTGGAGAAATCCTCCTGGTTTAGTCTTAAATAGAGGGATAGATGTGATGACGTCACTTATTAGTCAATCAGGTGCGAAAATCAGAGGGGGTGGGGGTGAATGTAGTCATATAAATGACAATAAACATGTATTATTGGTTGTGTTATTCGCAGTTAATCAACAGATATATATATATGCATGCGTACATCATCATGGGACCTCCTTTGCCAGTACCAAAATATGATAATAGGTTTTTCCCCTTTTTTCTGGCAATAAAACAGGTGTTAAGATGTTAAAACCCCAAACTGATAAATAGGAGTTAAACAATAAAGTAACGTACAACACATTCACAACAAAAATGAATACATACGGTACGTCTTATATCAACGTTGGGTATGCGTCCCTGGAAAAAATGCGACGTTAGTCGAAACAACTTAAAGATAAACTGTGCCATTGACTTAACGATATAAATTCAGGGAAAGTTCATGTGGGTCATCTTTTGGTCATAATTAGTACCGAAAAAAATGATTAAGTATTAAAAAATGGATGACGAAAGATCCCAAAAAGATGTGACATAACAGCTTGAAATAAATAAGTGAATACAGAGGACCCCACCACAGAATGGTGGTGGTGGTGGAGATTTGCATTTCGCGGCGTTGGGGTCTTCAGGAGGAGCGGCGGCCACGTGGCCCGTGCGTCCGCGAGGGGGCGTCGTCTCCTCGTGCGTCTGGGCCACGCGCGCGCTGTAACAAAACTACCACGTGTACTTTGCTCTCGATTGTTTTTTTTTTCAAAACAACGATGCATTAACGGTGTTATGATGAAAAAAATGAACGTAAATAGGAGCAACCAGAGGACTTGCTGTATATTTGTTGGAGGGTCGCGAAAGAAAAAAAAAACGCATCGCTTGGCTTAGGAAGAGGGTTACGTTCCTGAGACCCGTTCGTATCTCGGGACTCAATATTTAATTGTAGATGGTTCAACAGAAAAAAAAACAAATAACGAGAAATATTGTATATATGTATCCCATACGATAATAAATACTGTATAGTAAATAGAAAATAAAATAACATTAAAAGAAAAACATCTGTTTCATCTTCACTTACCTTGAGTCAAAGGGTTAAATGTGCATCACTCGGGATGCTGGGACTCATTACATCTCATGGAGGATCACTCCGCCGAACAAAATAGTCCCACGCTTCGGTTCGTAAGAACGACCAAACGTTCGAAAGTCAGATGGTGAAAGATAATAACATTTTATGGCGGTTCATTTGCTAAGTCGAACGCTCGTATCTCAGGAACTGCCTGCGTACACTTACGGCGATTATTGAAGGCGATGAAATGAAGAGGATGGCAAGAGCATGTTGGAGTGCTTTTGGAAAACTGAACTTGATAATGTTACTCTTTGGTTCTTTCTTTACCGAAGTAGCCAAAAAGAGTATGGATTCCTGCAGTCACGAAAGCTTCAAATCAAGATTGATAATATTAGTCGAAAGAAAAACTGTTTTCATTCAGTGTGTATTACCTATGACATGTAGGAAATATGAACTCATGAAATGGAACAAAAACGTAAACGTGTGCAAAGAAGACAGGGATATGCATGCTTGAATTATCACACAGGAGGCAGCAAGTGGAAGAAATGGATTTGAGAACACAACTTAAGTATTGAATGCTACATTGCGAAAGCATGAGGGATGTAAAGCAACAGTGGATAGAGCATAGTCGATGCTGATATGACCAATTATAATAATTACCCAGTGTTTAAAACGCTTGGTACAGATTAGGTTTGAATCCAATGAGCACGAGGATCATGTAAATACCCTATGGCATGCATAGCCATTCCCCAACGCTATTTGGCCTCTGTGGTGTTTAAATATCAGTCAATTAGCGCACCGTTATTTAATTATGGGCAAAGCCACATGCCACACGGTATCGAGAATGGCTAGTGTGCAGTTGATATTTTTTAACAAAAAGATGGACCACAACATCATATGGCAAGCATGATTTTAACTTTGAAACGGCTTGAAAAAGAGACTCGTCCTTTCGTGATATTTGCGACCATAACATTTTACAAATGAGGCCTGAGCAACAACCCCCCCCCCCACCCAATGTATCCCACAGATATTATTTACATCGTTACGCAACATAGCAACCTAGCCGTATTGTTGTAAAAATTTACATATGACTGAATGTCATGTCAGTTTGGGTTGTTTTATGGCTTCGCTTATATTTAAAATCATAAACTATTACACAAGCAACCTATTTTGGCAAAGAGAGTACAGTTTTTAGTATATTGTTACGCGCTATTATTATTTTCAGCCTGGTGTACATTCACTTTAAATTGATACACACAAATTCCTCTTCTTTGGCTAAGCTGTTGGAACGAGTTGTTTTTCGCTAGCGATGATTGTTTAAGGCAGGGGTCGGCAACCAAAATAACAAGAAGAGCCATTTCTTTCCAATTCGGTACAAAATTCAGTATTTCAAGAGCCGCAATGCATCTGAGTACATACTGTACATACGTACATATCGTCAAGAAGCAGCCCGTAAAGAGCCACATGCGGCTCCGGAGCCGTAGGTTGCCGACCCCTGGTTTAAGGCTTTCACGACACTCGGCCTCTTTTGTCTCCCCAGAGCTGATGTTCACACTTTGCACGAGGGACTGATTGTAGGTAATCACCCCTCTCCAGCTACATTATAAGCACACCACCATACAGCTCATCTATAATCAGAGCGTCGCTTGTACAAGCTATACAATCTATACAATCACAACGTTAAATTAAGTCTTACGTTGAAAATGATTACGCAATTCCATTGTAAGTAGCTTTAAACAAAACGCAAACTTTATTCAAAACGAATGTCGTCATGAAAAACCGATTCATCTGCAGCACATCCAAGGGAATAAATAACACGAAGGGCTACAGATCACACGTCGCCCATGACTGGAGGTGCGTCTCTGCCTAAATGTCAATGTACTCTATATAGAACACACAAAACACACGCCAACCTATAGCAGCAACTGGTATTCACAGTTGAACTTATTCTAAAAATTTAAAAGGTCTATGTTTACAGTTCTTAAAAACAAATCAGAAATCGAGCAGTTGATTATAAACTGCAGTTAACAGCATTTCAAAACAAGCAGTTCTTTCGAAGCAAAATCTGAAATTGTATTTCAATCGGCCGATGTGTCAATAATTCGACACGTTCACGACCACTCGGACTAAATTCTAAATTTTAATTCACAGCAGCAACCGCAATGTGGTCCATTTCACCATTCAATTGATGGACATGCAAGATTACTTTCCACGCATTTCACCATGCAAGTATCCTTGCATGTCTACATATGCAATACATACAATTAATACAAAATAGTGAAATAATAACTGAAAAGCTATACAACTTTTTGCATAGCAAAATGTTACCGTTTCAGTGGACCTTTTTGCTATATCCCATGATGATATAGCTGCTCACCCCGAGTTATAAATCCTCTGATACGTGCATTGTCTTTGTATCGTTCACCTTTTGGCGTTCTCTGGTCTACCACTGGTGATACAATGCCATAAAGAAGGATGTCTCTGGTGTGGGCGTATTCAGTTTCAAAGACAATGCATATATTATATTATAAGAGCATGTTTGCATGTTCACCACAGACTTGATTCATTGCAAAATTTATCTATTTGGTGTTTGAATATCTTAACACCTATTGTATTGCCAGCACGGGGAAACCCTATGATTATTTTTCATGGTACCATTTATAAAAGATAAAGGGTTAGACTTCAAACCATTCTACACATTGTCTTATATTCGTAAGGGAGCCATAATTGTATTATTATCGCCACCAGCCTATTATTGGTGAACAACCTTAACCCTCTTAACTCCAAAGTAAAGCTGCTCAGTCAGCATTATCTTGCTCCTTAACCCTAATCTTTCACGTGTACCCAACTCTACCACCAATTCAATGAATAAGGCAGTGCAAACCCCTCTATTATCGAGCAAATTCGTTGACAGCATAAGAAGCCACCTTATACGGCCCCTCCATATGTACGACATCAACATGTACTATAACACAAAGGCTCCAAGTGAAAGCTGCTTTGGCAAAGACAAGTTCACAGGAACGTCTCGACGCACGCGTTCCTGCGTGGGTGGTGCGAGCCGTCCACCCACGCCCGCCTCTCGGTGGCTCCGCTGAGGCTCACGACGGGAAAGAGCATCGCGTCCTGGTACGACGGCGGGTCCTCCTGCAGGGAAATCTGCTGCGAGAGGCAACGGGACGTCCTGCAGCTGGTGTCCTCACCCAGCTGCGCGCGGCTGCTCGCGCTGCGCGAAAGAAAGTTTGGCCGAGAACCTCGCAGGGCACGCCGCAGGGATGAGCGCCGGCTGTCCCGCAACGAAAGTCCAGAGCCGCAGCGGGAGAAGATGGAAGAGCTGCTCATGGCCCTGCGGCACCCCTCGCAGGAGCGCGCCTGGCTGCTCGGCGTGCACGAAGAGCAGTTGGCGGCGTAGGCCGTCGGCTCCGTCATGTCCATGAGCACGGCCTCGGAGTAGCTGGGCACGAGCTGCCGGTTGCTGCGGATGTGCCACTCGAGGTCAGCGCTGTCCATTGTGCTGATGCGTGGCAGGCGCAGGTAGGTGGTGGCCTCGGCGGGCGGAGAGCTATAATCCAGGCCGAAAAGCTTCTCGATGTGGTAGTGCACGAAGGCAGTCCGGTACTCCATCCACACGCGCAGTGGCCACGACAGCAGCAGCAGGGCGGCTGCCCAGAAGACAGGCCGGGAGACGTACCAAGGCAGCTTGTCTGGGTCGGCAAAGGCGATCACAAACTCTTTGAACTCCACGTTCTTGAGGTGCATGCCTTCCCTGGCCTCCATGTAGTCGTCCTGGCCCTCGTTCTCGCGGAAGAAGCGGGCGCGCTGGTTCAGGTACGCATTCTCCGACTCCGGGTTGGCGAAGCTGAAGCAGCGCGTGAAGTGAAGCCTCGTGACCGGGAACTTTTCCAGCCCGTAGATATCTTTGGAGACGTCCCGCACGCCGCAGTGCGAGAAGTCGAACTCGGCCTCGGAGACGCGCGTGGTCACCCTCTCCTGGTACATCTGCGTGCTCGTGTACGCCTCCCCGTTGCGGTAGCGCGTCACCTGGCGGGTGCGCCGCACGTAGTGGTAGCTCACCGCCTGCCACCAGAGGCAGGGCTTCGCCTCTTGCAGGCGGCGGATGCGCTCGTAGGCTCCGCTCACGTCCACCTTGTATTGCCGCTGGCTCTGAGTCTGGCAGTGCCAGCACTCGAAGAGGTACACCACGTAAAGCATGCCGAGAAAGGCCAGCGGAATGTACACGTAGCCGTTGGCGCATGGGCTCTCGTGGTAGACCATGGTCTTGCCCGTGTGCGCCTGGTCAAAGGCAAGCCGGGTGACGGTGGTGAGGTCGCACCACGTCAAGGCGCCCAGGCAGCCGTACATCAGCATGGTGAGCACCAAGCACTTCCAGTTGCTCTCTCGGCACAGAGAGGCACCCAGCGAAGGCTGCACCGGGCGCTGCTGTATCGTCACCAATGCAGATATGGGCACAAATTGAATTAGGGCTTTGACGAATGGCAGAATGCATAACAGCAGTAGTATCCACATTCGTAAACGTTCAAAGCTTTCACGTGTGAATTACAACAGAGTCGTATAATGTTGTTCTTGTAACAGTGGAAATGTACATGGTGTAAATGTATTATTTAAAACGAGCTATTTTATATGCCAATAGCCTGCGACAGCTCTCTAGCCCTTGACAGCATGATTTAAACAAATATATAGACCAGATCTATGTATCGGTTTCAGTAAGGATTGGACGAAAAGAATGCACTCATGTAGAATATTAATAGAGGTATGTAAAGTTGTATATTTAAAATACAGGGAAACCAAAGCAAGCGATCTAAGATGTGAGATGAGAAATGTTCTACAACATTCCAAAATGTAAATTCAGGATATTGCTTAAAAGGTGTTGCATCTGATGCTTTAATATCACGGAATGTTGTTAAATGTTCATTGTCTTTTTCAACATTTACTGGTAAAAACGCCAATTCACAGATTTAATCTCAAGTTGAAAATTATGGATGTAAAACTGCTCGAGGCTGTTAGTGCAGGCAGCTAAAGCATTTTCTAAATAATGTATTATTACAATTAACAGTTGTTATTGCAATATGAAGTGTATTTGTTTTATAATTTACAAACATTTACTATTTAACATTACATAAATGTTTCAACATATTTTTGTAGCTCCACTTGACATTACTGTGTTTATAATTTGCACTATTATAGTTGCTTTTCTTCTACGAAAAATTGCGCTCAGTAATTAACTTTGAAAGATGTTATTTAAATATTGATGATTAAATCTATTCCCTTCATTTATTTGGCACAGGTCTCCCATGAAGAAAAAAAGATTGAATCTTAAATGGGATCCGTTTGGCAATCACATCACCTCAATTTTAAATGACCATGCGAATACTTGCAAGTGTTCCACATAATATGCATATGCCGTGTTCTTAAAATTGGTTTAAAATAGGTGTTTTTAATATTATCGAGATAAATACAGGCTGCATAACGACATTCAATTGGAATTTAAGCCAACCAAACTGAATTTCCAGTGTTATTTAATAAGTGTATCTTCTGCACTTAGTATTCAGAATAATTCTGTATCACATGTGTTGTATGGAATTATGTTTCAAATATTTAAAACAATACTATTCCAAATTATCGGGTATTGTTTCATAATAGTGTCCGGCAATATATTGCCTGTATATTGTGTCCAAATCTCTCTCCGAGAGACTGGATTGCAATAAATACTTGAGTATATGAACACATAACGATAAGTACTGCTAATGCAATCATGGATAAACAGCCCGCACTGTGATCATAAAATCCAATGAGTGGTCGGAATGGTCACTTTATAATTACAAGACTTAACATTGATGCGCCAGATGTAGATTGTTAAATGGACCACGCGTTAAAAAGGCCCAAGAGTAAACAGAATAATTAACTTGTGCTCAAATAAAAACTGATAATGAAATCCAACATATAGTATATGTGGCACAAGTCGTATATAGAGAAGTGGCACATCTCATACAGCATCTGTGGCATGCTGATTCTTAACACACCTCGTAAATGCATGTCACATCAGATCGACTTATTGAAAAGGCCGTGTTTGAAACGTACCTTAAAAATCTACCACGTGCGTGCAGGTCAACAATAAGGCAGCAAACAGCATTACACAAGCCACGCAAGTAATGGCACCATGTGCCACTTTTTGCACAGTGCCAACATCAAACACGCTTCTCCATGGGTGGGTTTTGTTTCACAGGGGCCAATTGTAAGCCAATTTAACCATGCATCGAAAAACAATTGAAGCTGGCTTAATTGATTAGATCACATTAATTATTAAATACGGTGGTTCATTCAAACAAATTGTCTACTTAACGTAATTACCACACACGCGCACGCACGCATGGTGCATCTATAACTTATCTCGCTCTCCCCGGCTATCCGCATCGCATTGCCGTTAGTTATGATTACAATACTTGTGTATATGAAAATGCACTTGAAAATGTTCATCTGTGTAATTGCAGCTTTTAGTCGCGGGTAACGTTATAGGGCGCATTTTTTTGCAACCGGTTTGCAATCTTCTTCATCGTCATCATTAGCCATGGTCGCATGTCGCATTTTGAGAGGTGTAATATTACAACGTAATGTGTAAATGTGTTTTGTAACTACACCTACTCTGCAGCATCAGTATGAGAAGTGTTGTGTGGTCGCCCCCACCCACTCAAAGAATATCCATCACGAATGAAAAACGTACGGGAACACAAAGCCGATCACTCCGGAAACAGCCCATGAACAAAGTGGTGCCTCGCGTCTTTGTGGAGGAAAATAAAATCCCTCGAATTATCCACAACAGATTCCTTTCACCGGTGGTGTCGCCGCGACTTAATCTTGTCAGGATACACCGCATAATGTATCTTATTAAAACATAAGCAGTGCTGCAAACAAGTGTAAAAAAACTGCAATCAGATAATCCATTCACATGGAAGATATAGCAAAAAGCTTCTTGGAATAATTTGTGAATGGAAACATGTCCATATGTTGCTTTGTTTTCGCCGAATTAAAACCATTGTTTATTTATGCAGTGCATGTTTTTGCCTTCCCACATGGCGTACACATTAAATAATGTGGTTAACTTTGTAGAAATATTCCATTTTTATTTTCGCCTTTACAAATTATACATGACGGTACATGAGCTTGGTCCCGGTGACATTAACACGTTTAACAGTTACGAGATTAAGATGTATTAATTTGATTTACAACGGAATGGAAAGCATCCTATAGAACATATACCAAGGAGGTGGGGAGATAAAATCAATTCGTATTGCCATGCACAAGTATATAGTTCGCATGCAGGTACTCGGCGGATTATACACATCGCGGGACATGGAGGCCTTCATCCAGCAGTGGATTGACCATAGCAGATGATGATGATGACCATACAATAATTCACAACAGCGTGCTGTAGATGTTGCTTCTCCTTATAAAGGGAGAACTTACACTCAACGGTTTATCATCTTGTTATAACGATGGTAATGATGATATATTGCCTATCTGAATATATAACCCATTGCGCTCTGATTGGAAGATTTTCTCCTAGGTCAATGCAAATGTAATTGCTGCAAGGCAAAAAAATGGAATGCATACGGACTTGAATATACGGGATGTATAATCATTAACTACACACACACACGTCCATACGCTGTATCGAGACACCCGTGGATCGGAGAAGATGGAACAAAAGCTGGAAGGCGTGCAAAGAAGCTTGAAAGAGGTGCATACTCGGAATTACACCGAGATATAAACACGTGGATCAGAGAACATACACAATTATGCAACATCCTTGAGCAGGACACGTCGCTGGAGGGAGTGATGACCGATGGCCAAGAATGATGACGATTTCTTGCGAAGATGTTTTGAGTTTCGATAACTATAATGGAGCAGCTGCAGCCAAGGGAATGGAACGAGTTAGAGAGGACGTCCAGCGAAGAGAGATGGAGCGAATGAAACCAGCTCGGGTGCAGGTGCAAGGTGGATTGTGAGAGATGGCGAGGACGTGGGGATGCCTTCATCCAGCAGCGGATTGACCATGGCTGACGATGATATTACGTGCAAACATTTCTAAACAATATACTCTTACGACTACTAAATACAGCATTGGCATGGGAATTGGTGTGCGTTTATTATGCATGGCCATCACGCATGAAAAAAAAAACCAGTGTGGAGATGCCTTAATCAAGCAGTGGATTGATCATGGCCGATGATGAATGATGACGACGAACCGATGAATACGAAATCCACAAACAGTGTCTAAACTGTGTTCAGACAACAGTGCAAAGTAGGGGGTTTAAACCCCCGAGAGGCTGGCTGCCTCACCTCTCCCCGCATCCATTCGCAGCGTGGCACAGCCTCCAAGCCCGGGGTCGCTGCCCCCTCGCTGGCCACCGGGGTGCCCGCCTCCTCGCTCCTGCTGTCCCCTGCACCGCGAGACACCATGGCGGTGCTGACTGCACCACCACCAGCACCAGCAGCTGCTGGTGCCGCGACGAGCTGGGGCCGCTCCCGCACCACCCCGCCCCGAGCCAGCCCGCGCCTGCAGACGGGCAGCCTGCTGACACATCACGGGCAGCTCAAGCTGCTGCTGATGCTGATGCTGCTGCTGCTGGTGCTGGTGCGAATGATACTGCTGGTACTGCTGCTGCTGATGATGATTGATGATGCTCTCGTGATGGTTGGTGATGGAGCTGGTAGCAGTGATTATACTGCTCCGGCTAACGCAGTTTGCAACTGATGCTGTTGATGAAGCTGGTAGCAATGATGATGCTGATCCTCGTTACATTTTTCACGGATGTTGTTGCTGCTGCTGCTGCTAATGGTGTGATGAAAACGCCGGTGGTGGCAGTGATTACGCTGCTCCTGCTAATGCATTTTGTGCTGATGCTGTTGCTGCTGCCTGGGTCTCGTGGTCACTGGAGGCGAGCTGCTTGCTGCGCGCACGCACGCACGCCCTCCAGCCAGCCGCATATTCATCTTGCGCTCATGCTACCCCTGTCTCGCAAGCCCCCCCCCCACGCACCTCACACCCCCCCTCCCTCAACCCCTCCACCACCCCCCCCCCCCCAACTATGCCAGAACCCCACCGTTACTCCCCCCCCCCCCACCAGTGGTTTTCACAGTGACGTCATCTCATCTACACATCGGTCTCATAGCCCGGAGCAATCGTACCCATAGATTATCCCCCAACAGCTGACTGCTGCGGCGGTTGTGCGCCTTTCATGTTGTTGTTGTTTGGAAATCCCATGAATGAAGAGAGGCGTGGGTCAACTGTGTTGTAAGCACCGCCAAGCGAAAAGGGATAAAGAACATTTATATGCTACGCGTGTGTGTTTACGCGCTTACTTTCTCGACCCCGCACATCATGATGAGCACGGTTGGCTACGTACGGTACGAAAGAAATTCAACGTAATTGCACACGAGAGCTGTAGGTGGTATTCCACCGTCCGTGATCAGAATCAGAATATTTATTTATACTGGAGGAATCCGATGAGCTATAAAGCTCTTTTTCACAGATGTCCAGTCGTGGTGGGTGTGTAGTAATAGGTGATGTGTAGTAGGTTACCCCAGCACAATTAGATGCATACCTAAGGATGGTGTCATATGAAGGGGCTGAAGTTCTTAATCGTGGAGTGGAAGCCAGATTGTCTGTCGAGAAATATCACAAGGTAAACTTGTGGAGGGTCAGCGTAGATTGCCGGTTCGATCTCCCGGACCGGCAGCTGAAACAATGGACACGTCTCTTTCAAAGCCCCGATTCTGTGCGCCCATCAATGTCAATGGGTAAGCCCCAATCGACCGGCGGGTTCCGTGTGTTGAGATCGATTGTGGGTGCTCCCGCCGATGCCAAGACGCCCGATCACCGTGAAAGAGTATTCCAAATATCTCATAAATACAGTGTCTTCTGCAGAGCTCCCTATGGTGAAGGAAGTCGCGGGGTTTGCGCCTTTGCCTTGTCTATCCGCAGGAGGATTGCTGGGATTTCCCAGTACAACGGGGGGTTGCATGCAGGGCGTAACTATGGTTGAGGGGGGTATGTGGCGGCGTTTTTGCACTGCATAGGGGACCCATCGGCCACAATGGGGCCCAGAATCAACAGATAAACAAGTAAAATGTAAAGATTTTTTTTAATGTATTCATTTAAAATTACCTGCGGTCTACCATGGACCAAGCCCGACTAACGCATCTGGCTGTCATATCAATACGGCAGCATGAAGTTGCGAAATCCACCCCCTTTGAGGAAATCTTTGACGAGTGGTTATCTTAACCTGGGGTGCACGCTGCACCCCCTGGGGGTGCAAGATGTCCTTGCTGGAGGTGCGAGACATGGGCAGGTTGTTCTAGAAGGTAAATCATCGAAACACAAATTAAGCACGAGCACGTAAGTACAACTACTTTGTTTCATCAATCCCTATGTATGTATTAACATTAAACATTCGTTTAACGATTGGGAACCAAAGGGGTGCAAGGCTGCAGTAAAGGTTAAGCGCCACTGTTCTAGACCGATGGGCCGGCATGAAAGCAAGACGCATGATAACTTAATTGTGAGTATTGTCCCTTTAAATCTTTTTTATTAACACTGTCACTCTGAGACTGTCTTCCTCTTAACCCAATACACGGGTCCAACTATAATAATATAGAGAGAGAGTTATAGCCTACATATTATTGTATACGGGTAAAAAAAAAACGTGGCTATTTCACTAAAAGTGAGTCGGGAGAAAGAAAGGGGGGTGGGGGGGGGGGCACAGTCGCATCTTGCATACCGACCCCCGTTGAAATAGGAAATTGCGCCCCTGGTTGCATGCATCTTCTCCTTCCAACACATCGCAAAGCTCCCCACATACCAAGTTACACGAGTCTAGTTTTTACTTCAAATTACACAGATTATTTTCTCAGAAAGGTGATGTGTTTACCATCACCATATACAACTCACATGTGTAAATTATATAAAGTGGTGATGAAAACCCACAAAATGTACTTTATAATCTCAGCATTTCCTTGATATCACAACTGACACACAAGCATTACGTATAGATTATGTCACTTTAGATTATAGACCTCATACTGATTAGATACATTGTTGGGGCTTGTAGCCAATAACATGCTGGTGTTTGTAGTCACATAGGGCTTGGAAATTAATCAAAGGCAATGTGGTTCCTATTAATCTGGTTCTTGAGACAGCATCAAACATGATCTCAGCAACATAACCACACAGTTGGTCGTCCATACAGCCAAAAGCAACCTTAAATTTGCGTGCACTAATTTCATATGCAAACTGAGTAAACTGAAAATAATTAAAATGTGAAATATGGTTTAATAATGTCTTCCATTAAGTATTTCTGTAATAGCAGTGAAGTGTATTGCAATTTTTATTGTTGTATATCATTAATACCTACACATGTGCACAATACCATAGTTAAAAGTAAATTATATATATTTAAATCATCTGAAAAAAACGTTGATGAGGCTTAGCGCATCGCTTGCTTTCAGATGCGCTTCTGCGGCCATCTGGAACGCTCTTTCTTCCGATATTAGGAAGCCACTGTAGCTTGTGCACTTTATAGATTGAAAACAAATTTCTTTATAACTGCTTTTTGTGTTTAGATTGTTGTCATTCCCTTTCCCTGTACCTAGGATTAGCACGGTTGGCTATGTGCAATGCGAAATAAGTTTGACATAGATATAACGCATACATGCTGCTGGTACAACATCAATGCGAAAACATGAATAACGTTTCATATTTTGGCTATCAATGACGCCACTGGGACTACACAAATCAATCACCGCCCCCTACTGGAAGACTAATGCCCGTTTGCAGGCCAAGTTCTGAGTCACCTTGTGCTGCACAGGGACAGCTGACACTGGGGCTGTTCTTTCAAATATGTTGAGATGAGATGTGAGATTTAAAGCACTCAGAGGCACCCCAGCATATAGGATTGGCACGATATGAAACACTAGTCATTTCATAGGTACATTAACCCTGGTTAGTACCCATGCAAAAAAAAGTGCAGCACATTACATTTTAATAGCTTCTTTGCCCGTCCTAGTACGGAAGCTGTAATATATACGAAAAAATTGAGCAGAGTATAATTGTATCTTGTGTAAATTTAATGTCAGTGAATCTTGTACGAAAGTATGTCATCAAACACTTCACTGCAGTTCACTGTAGTGCTGTATTAATGGCAGTGATTCTTGCTCAAAATTATGTCATAAAACACCTCACTTCATGTCACTGTAGCACTGTATATAACTGACCCTCAATTTAAGAATAGGGTTTCCCCCTTTTTCTGGCAACAAAACAGGTGTTAAGATGATAAAACACCAAACTGAAACCTTATACAAGGAATCATGTCTGCATTAACCACACTACTTGTGGTCAGAATGCAAACAAAAAATACTCTGATAATAAATGCATTGTCTTTGAAACTGATTGGTCCACACCAGCGACAGCTTTCTTTGGAGCCTAGTCTCAAAAGGGTGTTAGACCGGAGGACGCCAAAAGACGTCTTACACAAAGACAATGCACTATCAGAGTAATCTTGATTTGAGTAATGAGAGCTCGGGGTGAGCAGCTACACCATGGGACCTCCTTTGCCAGTACCAAAATATGACAATAGGTTTTCCCCTTTTTCTGGCAACAAAACAGCTGTGTTAAGATGTTAAAACACCAAACTGAAACCTTTATCAAGGAATAATGATTAATGCAGACATGATTCCTTGTATAAGGTTCCAGTTTGGTGTTTTAATATCTTAACACAGCTGTTTTGTTGCCAGAAAAAAGGGAAAAACATATTCTCACATTTTGGCACTGGCAAAGGAGGTCCCATGATGACCTTCAATTTGTTCAAATTCACTGCTCTGATACTTTATTCTCTTCTGCTTTCGGTCGCTGGGGTTGAAATAAATTGGAAATCGATAAAATATCTGGAAAATCATCGAGAAATGTCTATTTTACCATAATGTCGAAGCATAAATTAGACTGACCTTTTGTCTCAAGTGCTGAAGAAATAAATAAAGACACCAAATCCACTTTGTTGCTGCGTATAATTATTTATTAGATTCACTTTCAATAAAGAAACGTCTAACTTAAAGCGAATTTGCGAAAAAAAATATTTCCGCTCGACCTTCTGCGTGAGTGTAAAAATCCACCCGCTCATGAATATTAATGAAAGGGGGGGGGGGGTGCGGCATGTGGAGTGACGTAATGCGCGGGACACACAAACAGACATTATTGACTCATTATCGTAGTAATTTTCTCCGATCTAAAGCTTCAACGGGTATGAACAACTCATGACACGTTTCCTGCAGAAACCCCAAGATTATGCATCACACACACGTTATATTAGCAATGCATTGCTGTCAGTGGCTGTGACAGTCAATATTGGAAATTTACTAATAAAAAGGCAAGTCATAATTCACACAGCCAGCAATGTGAGGAATGATGAAGATTTATTGTCGCAATTCTATTTAATAAATACAGTATTATTGTTTAGTCTCGTTTGTATTGGGAGTTTTTAAAGGCATCGTTGGAACCTTTGTTTTGTACGAACCTTTACGTAATATTGGCATGCAATTTAGAAATAATTTGCATACGTCGTATATAACTTATTATCGTACACGCAATGTAAATGCAGGGTTGAACAGTAATCAATTACTATGTTCAAATTAACACTAGATGCCAGGTAACAAATGCACATTCATCAGTGTGAAGTTTACATTATTATGCCTTCAGTGGGCTATGTACATCTTAGTTTTGTGACGCATCAGCATTGGCCATTCTCTATCCGTTGCTAGATGAAGGCCTCCACAAGCCAATGCAGTCTTGCGATGCAACAATCAATGTCCCTTCTGCACATGAACTCATCTCACTGCAGTGGACCGTCTTCGAGGGCATTCCCTTCCTGCGGTGTTGTCTTGCACAAGCCCATTCGCCTTGCCATTTAACGCGACATCTCGAAGTTGC